CCCCAAAACCCCAAAACCCCTCATATATATATTTGATTTTAAAATGAAATTTAAAATAATTTTTTTATTCAAATCAGTAAATTTAAATGAAAACTATATTTGCTATTTTGATCTTTACCTTAATATCTAACTTTATGCTTTCTTCGCAGCAAAATACGTAAAATATTAAAGTAATACTAATTTATTGTAGTGACGATGATGGAGATATTTATTACTAAAAGCACTTGTGCAAGCCAACTATGAATTATAATTTTGAGAGGAAACTCCCTAAATCAAGAAAATTTAATTTTTGCTAAGAACATTCTAAAAATACTTGTTGTTTGCATCGAGATGTTAAGCAAATACATTAGAAGTTTAATGAAACATTTTATGAAGATAATAAAATTAATTATAAGTGCAAAGATATTACAGAAAAAGTATTCTGCTCTGTTTGTGATGGAGATGTAGTATGTATCCTTATTTTTTCATTATTAATAATTTAAGGGGGTTCATAAAAAGAATGGTCTTTGTTATGATATGTGCGAGACATGGTTTGATCTCTGTCATAATGAATAGTTCATTGTTCTTTCTGATAAGGATAATATGCTAGACTTTGCTAATGAGACTCTTAAATATGAGGGCAAAAAATTATATACAATTGTAAATGATGCTGAGGAATTTTGTAATAGGATGGGCTATATTGTACATGACAAGCCCTATTGCTATAATGGAATTCCTATTGGCTAGAAAATTGACCTTAGCAAAGAAAAGCCTTAATGGAATAAGCAAAGGCCTACTAATAAAGGCATTGTTTCAATGTCATTCTACAAGTTATTGTCATATTTTCTGACAAATACTTAAGCCTATGGAAACTACTTATTTTATCTGGGATTGATACTGATAGTAATAATGATTCTCTATGAAGTAAATATTTGGCAGTAAAAGATGCGCTAAGAATAGATTGACATATCTAAGTAAATAAAATAAAAGCTAAAGATAAACTAAGAAAAAAGAATAAAAAAAAGAAAGATACTTGATATCCTTAGAGGTTAAATCAATTAATAAGAGTCGAATGTAAATTAGAAATAGCACAATAAATAAATTGATAATATAGATAAATTAGATTGATTTAAATTGATTGTTTTGGAATGATGGGGTTTTGGGGTTTTGGGG